AACCCCCTAAGAACAACTCAAGGCCAGAAAGTAGTGCAGGTGGATATCGTGTGGTCACGCCGCCAGTGTCAAGGAGCAACGGCATTAACGAAAGCAGTCACAACGCCCTTCTTGAGTAGAGCCAAATTGAGGAAAAATATCCGTAACAATTGGCAGACGGCATACCCTCCGTAATGAGGACTCCTTCTCCCTTCGCCCCCTCTCCTCCTCCCTCCTCCGTAAAAATGATCCAGATTTTCAAAATCTTCACTACAAGTCGAACAATCTGTCTCGCATTTTTACACCGACGCGATGATTGCTGAAGCTCGTCTTTTGCACCAACGCGATGAGGACCGAATCAGAAAAGGCTGACGCCGCGTGACATCACCAAAACACGACCACTCGCACGCTTTGTGACAATTTCGCGTAACCAGAGCCCGGTACTGCAGAGAGCCCGAGTCTATTCAAAAATAGGCAGGTCTCTTTTAGTTAACAGCGACTCTCCAAATGTTTTCAAGTTTTTTAGTCCTCGTACTTCGTTGGTTCTCAACGGCATTGGCACAACATGAAAATCATACGCGTACAGATCTCTTATTTGTGAGAGGTACTTGCTCTGCATTTTCCTCCGTGCTTCGTGGGCTTGCTGTAACTGATTAGCTTTGTTTTCGACTTTCTTGTACTCTTGGATGACCTTGACGCTGTCATCGGTAGTCCCCATGTGCATCTCTATTTGTTTCTGTAGTTGCTCTGAAGTAAGTGGATCTTCATATCCTTCAATTGGGAACACAATTTGGTTGACAACTATATACCTGGCATCAATTTCCTGCTTGGCAAGTTCTTGAACCAATCTTTCGGTTTCATATAGTGACAGAAACTCGGGTATACAAACGCACACAAAGGTTGTTCTGGTTGGGTCCTTGAACAGCTTCTTAACAGATAGTGTTACCGCTCTCATATGTTCAATTTTCGACATTATGCCGCTATCATCTCCACCACCGCCAGATATCATGTCCATCATGCCACCAAGCTTGCTACCCAGCTCGTTGAACTTACCAAAAGCCTTCTCCAGCAAATTAGGGAATGATAGGAGGCGTAGCGTATGACCCGTGGGTGCCGTATCAAATACTATGCATGAGTAGTTCATTGTCTGAACCGCCTTCATTAACTCACCAAATGACATCGCTTCGTCTATTCCAGGAAAGGCCTGTATCATTTCCGGTATCATTCTACCTAGGCCGAGTTCGTCATCGTCATCACTCAATTGAAACCCAGTACTCGTTTTCATACTACTGTCAATCTCCATCGCAAACAGGTTGCTAAACCCGTTTACTCTTGTAGGGCTGCTGGAAAACTTTTGGCCGAAGGCGTCACTCAGATTGTGTGCAGGATCGGTACTGAGAATCAATACGCTTTCACGTCGATTTGACAATTCAATTGCCAGAGAGCAACTGGTGGTCGTCTTGCCCACGCCACCTTTACCCCCCACAAAGATCCACTGCAGTGTTGTGGAGTTCACCAAAGATTCCAGTGTCGGATCCAGCACCTCCTCCTACGTCAACAGTTTCTTCGGGAAAGATGGGTTGTTGGTGAATACCTCCTGGCCTGTGCTCTGAGGTCCCCCCCCCCCCCTTTGAGTGCTACAGGTAGTAGTGCTTTGTTTACGAATGAGTCTTCATCACAGTCTGTGAAATGGTCGCTGTGCACGCTCATCGGTTTTACGGTCTGTTTAAATCGGTTTTAAAATCCGATGGATGTGGATGTGACCGGTCTCGAGGATGGAGTGAAGATGGACGGAGAGAAGACGGAGGGAGTTAAGCTGAAGGGAGAGAAGGCGGAGGAAGAGCCGCTCGCCGATATGAGCTGGGAGCGAATAACCGACCAGGACCTAGAAAACGGCATCCGCGGGATCGTGAATTCGGATAACATCACGAGCATGACAAAGCGTATCCTGCGCCACGAATTGGAGCAACATTTCGGACTGCCCGAGAACTCCCTACTGCCGGCGAAGGATCGGATCAAAAACGTGTTAACACGGGTAGTGAACGAAGTGGACCAAGTGTCGCCATCTTCGTCAGAATGCGTGCCGCGGAAGAAACGGGTGCGTAAAGAAGCTGAGGACTCAGAGGGGTCCAGCGCGGGGGAACAGCAACGAAGCGCCAAGCGCAGCAACCGAAGGTCTGCTACGGGGCCAATGACCAAAGCTCAGTTCATGGACAACGCCGTAACTTTCAAAAGCCAAATCGGTCCTGTCGAATTCGACCTGGCTCCGCGGAAATTCAGCACCGGCTCCTGCGGCTGGTTCTACGGCTCCAAACACGACTTGATGGTAGGCGACGTACCTGTCACTTGCCGATTTACTCTCAACTGCATCGCGCTCGGCTCCAAAAATTGGCCAAACGGCAAGTCCAAGGTCGCAGCACAATCTGATAGTAATGAAGAGGAAAATGACATCGAAGAAGAAGAATAACAAACCGATGGCACGCATCCCTGGCCCAAAAGATTTTACCCGAAAATGCAACCCAGAGCCCTCTGAGGCAGGCTTTCTTTGGGCATCCGCCCAGGACTGTTCGCCAATGGCCAGCTCCCCGCAGGTGTGTGCACAGGCCGCTCGGCAGAGCGGTATCGTCACAGGAAGTTTCAGACTACGTTGGTCGTCTGTACATTAAAAAGCCTGGAGCACAAACCAACGCCCCCTAAGGCACTTGTTCAAAGCAGCCATCCCTCAGGATGGTACTTGTAAGCAGCTTTTTCACAGAACTGGAGCATGCTTTCAATGTCTTGGACTCCGCACACTTCTCGGACAGAGTGCATCGCCAAAATAGGGATACCAATATCAATAGTTTGACATCCCAATGCAGTAGCCAAGATGGGGCCGATAGTGGAACCGCATGGAGTGTCGTTCCGCACAATAAACTCTTGCAGCTCGTCATCGCCCACAAGCCTCAACGACCGAAGATTGGCGATCGCTTTCGGTGTTGTAGCATATCGTTCATTCACATTAATTTTCGCTACTACTCCAGCGTTCTACAACAGTCTATGTTAATGAGTCGAAGCTTACCATTTTGGGTTTGTGCAGAGCTTGGTGCTTCCCAGGATAATTCGGGTGGACGGCGTGAGCGGCATCACAGCTGAAAATAACGCAGTTACTATCGATGGGCGTCGTGGGACACAGACGACCCAACGCTTTTGGCAGCAAATTGCTAGCTGCGCCAACGATAGAGTTGCTTCCAACCTCTTCATTATCAAAACCAACGCAAATAACCAGGCGATTTTTCGCTTTGCTTATATCGATCCGCGTGAACGCGTTAAAGGTACTCCACAGCGACGACTTATTATCCAATCCCTGCGCGCTAATCAAGTCCTTCCTGACTCCGAATACCTGCGCGGGTTCTGTATCGTACAAGCAGAGGTCGTAGCTCAGTATATCCGACCCGCATACTGTGGCAGAAACCTGTTGGGCACAAACCTGTTGTGCAGAAACCTGTTGTTCACAAACCTGTTGTGCAATGTAGTCTTTCAGGCCGTTTTCAAGAGGCCCAGTGGAAATTATAGGTACAAGCGTATCTTCCGTCTGAGGTTTGAACGACTGTGCCTCGTCTCGATTTTGCAGATGAATGCAAAGATTAGGCACGATTCCGATGGGGTCCGGACTCCGGATCACAGCCATCTCGGGCTTTATCAGTGACCCTTCTTCGCGACATTTTTCAAGCGTCTGAGGCACACTGTAACATACCAGACCACAAATGCCCAGAGGGCGGTCATACCAGGTGTGCCAAAGCCCCCCACCGTAGGTAGTTACCCCCAATTGCGCCACCTCCTCCTTGATAACATCGCCGTGCGGTCTTGACCTTAGACAAGGGGAGTCGGTGTGTGATGCAAAAACAATAACGTTCCCCGTCGCCATGTCAAAATCCGGACTTCTCTTCCATGCCAGTATAGCGGATTTCTCACGGATCATGTAACCCTTCATGGAGGTTTCCGTCGCGTCTTCTTCATGGATACCGTGTGCTTCCAGCATCTCAGTTGTTCCAGCCACTGCAGAGTATGGGCTGCCATTATGCTTGTTCAACCATTCCACAAACTCGTCGGCGGGCTTTCTGACTGTCATCACGTCCACTGATCTGTTTTTGCGAAAAAAAGTACGACGGGGCGTGCCGAATCCACCAAACACATCAAGAGCAGGAACACTCATCGCATGTCATTTTTCGTTTTCGTTCTTCCTCCATCATCAAAAGCCTGTTTTTACGATACTTGCGCTTGTCGGCGGGATCGAATCCCTTCTCCTCGGCGCCTAAAAGCGCCCACGAAGGGGTCTCCGCCGCGTACTCCAGGTTGTCAGGCTTCTGACCAACAGTCAGGAGATCCAACGCAGCAAACCATGTGAAGAACTTTGGGTAGTCAATCCATGTATGCCACTTGCCATTAACCTTGTACCTGGCCTTGGCTACGAGCACACTACACGAGTGCTCATGTTCAACAGCGAGCTCGTAATCCATGCCCATATTTTGCAATTCAGCTACAAGCATCTCGCCAAATTCCACGACCTCCTGGTGTGTTGGCACGTTGGTCATTCTGATGCCGCAGCCCTTACCGGTAAAGGTTACTCCCTTAAGCTCAATGAAATCCGGCTCGCCAAGCGGAATCAGCAGCGCATAGCCCTGTACGTCAAACTCGTTCCGGTCTTTCACAATCGTCAGCCTGTAAACTGTTCTCTCAATTCGGTTTTTCAGCAGTGAAAGAGATTTGAGGAAACGCTCCCAGTAGTCTCTATGTAACGGCCGGTCCAGCTCCTTCATGGTCACCGGATCGGAGGCGTCTACTGATACATACAACTGAGTACATGTGCCAAGCAACTCGAGCTGCTCAGGGAACTGCCCGTTGTTTACGAGAAAGGTGGATATAGACTCCCTATGGAGACGGCTTAAAAGCTCGTTGATGCGCGGGTACAAAATGGGTTCACCCACAAGGCTCAAGGCACAATGGGCAACCTCCAGTCCCTCCGTCAAACGACCAGTCTCCTCCACACCACGGGCCCCCTTGAAGACCTGAACCATATGCCGTTGTTCAACCAGCATCTGCTCAACGATGTGCCCGGGATCGTCCGCCTTCCAGTGCCATTCTCTTGCAACCGGGTTTTTCTGGTGTCTCCAGCAAAACACACACTTGTTGGCGCACGCAAGACAACACGTTGCCTCCATGCACCGGTGAGACTGGATGCCGTAAAATGTATGCTTGTAACATCCCCCCTGACCCCGCAGCTGGTGCTTCGTCCAGCGACACATCTTCACTGCGCTGTGGGAGCCCACTAAGCGGTAACCCTGCTTCATCAAAACCCGGCGCTGAGTCTCACCCAGCATCTCCTTGTTTTCGTCGCGACCTTCCCCTTCGTCATACGAATTACATGACGCGTCACTGTCGCTACTGTTGTCGTCATCCTCCTCGCTACTCTTGTCTGCGGCCAGAGAGTCTTCGATACCTCTGGATAAACACTTGTCAATCCATTGAATTTTTTTCTGCACGTCTCCTGCCGTAGCGTCAGAATCACTTGCATTAACATTAACTAAATGCTCCACCCTCCTAGCACCAGACAATTTCATTAGCTTGTTAACTTCAATGGCAGGGCGACAGAATGTCGTACCTCCGTACGCCATGTCACCAAATCCCAAGACACTAAAGCTTATGCTTTTGCGCTCTTGTGGAGAAGCTCGATGATCATTGGCAAAGGCTCGCAACTCCTCCAAAGCTGCCCGGCACTTCGGCGCGATGGTACCACCCTCTGATGTGGCGACAAAGAGGAACACATTAGCGCCTCCTTCCGCAACGGAGTCGTAAAGCCAGTCATTGATATTGGAGAAACAACATGTTTCTAACAAAAGCACTTCATTGAAATAAGCACGTACATTTTCGTCTTTCACGCCAGTATCGAGTTTAAACTTCCTCGCGGTAGCCTCGGCAAGCTCCAGAACTTTATGGCGGACGCCCATCCATTCGCTGCTATATATCAAAATAGTGCGCGGCATTGAGCGCACACTATTTTTTATTATGACTTCGGTGCTTCAGGTCCAGAGAAACAGCGCCCAAATTATGAAAACGGGCGAACTTCGGCCTGACAGTCGCTGCAGCGTTCAGACAGTGGCATCAGTCACGGAGATGGCTCGGGACATGGAACATGGCTTCGGTGATCAGACAATAATGACAAATGAGCAAGCTTTGGAATCCGTTTCGGAAGGCCCTTTGCAGCTCGAGGTGCTTTTAAGCAAGGGATTCACGCACCGGGACTTGGAATTATTAAGGGAAGGAGGGATTCAGACGGTTGAATGTATCGCTTTTTCTCCAGATCGAGCTATTGCCGAGATAAAGGGAATATCGGACCAAAAGGTGGAAAAGCTTAAAACCGCTTGTCGAGGCCTATTAGGTCTTGGTTTTTGTCTAGCCACGAACTTCCTTGAGGCTCGTCAAAACCTTATACGATTTACCACCGGAAGTGTGGACTTGGACCGAATCCTTCAGGGCGGAATTGAATCAGGCAGCATCACCGAGATTTTTGGTGAGTTTAGGACGGGCAAAACGCAGCTGTGCCACACTTTAGCCGTCACTTGCCAACTGCCGGTTGACCTGGCGGGCGGTGATGGTAGGTGTTTGTGGATAGACACTGAAGGAACGTTTCGTCCCGAGCGGGTAGTGGCAATCGCTGAGCGGTATCAATTAACACCGCACGTCGTACTGGATAATATCATATACGGCCGCGCTTTCAACACCGACCATTTGCTGCAGCTTCTTGTGGAGTCGGCCGCCATCATGGCGAAGACCAGGTTCGCTCTCGTTGTGATAGACAGCATCATCAGTCTATATCGAAGTGAGTTCGCGGGACGGGGCGAGCTGGCCAGTCGCCAGATGCACTTGGGTAGAGTCTTGCGAACCTTACAGCGCATTGCTGACACCTTTGGAGTTGGTGTGATTCTTACGAACCAGGTTATGGCCAAGGTGGATGGTATGATACCCGGGAATGACAAACAACCCACCGGCGGTCATGTTCTAGCCCACGCTAGTCAAACTCGTCTGTATATGAAAAAAGGTGAGTGGGCATTGTCGTCTGGGCTAGTCTGGTGAACCTCACAGTTACGAGCTGTTTGCTTAGGCAAAGGTCAGAACAGGGTGTGCAAAATAGTTGACAGCCCCAATCTTCCAGAGGCGGAAGCACAATTCAGCATCAAAGAGGGGGGCATAGATAAAGCAGACAATTGAATTTCGGGTGAATGGGAACCACTTCTGTTCACGAGTTCTTTGTGAGCCGCGGGCGCGGGTGTGTTTTGAGGGATTAAAAAACCGCGTCTGCGGGGTATGGATAGTTTGGTAGTGTGTCATGACGGTCGGGACGTCGGCGGGTGTGTGCGGCATTCGAGGGTCTATTGCGTTGCCTTCGACGAGCACACGGATTCCCGGGAGCTGGTTGGCCAGTGGGTATGTAACGGTGGAGGCGATTTTGTTTGGAAGGCCGGGCTTCTGCGGAGAGCGGTGGAGGACGGCGCGTGCCTGCTGGTGGAAGGACTGGAGCACTGCAGCGAAGACGTCGTTGCCAAACTGGAGCAGGTCCGGAAGCAGCGGCGCATAGAGACCGACCCACGGCAGGTGGATTTTGTTCCTGCGCACCAAGACTTTTGTATAGTGTTGGCACACAAATACTTCGGCGAACATTGCAATGGACCGGTAGTGAAGGCGCCGGATGATGAACCCCTGCGACACCCGTTGTTGAAGAACGTGGCCCTGCTGCCAGTGTTGAATATAAACAGTACGGGGAGCGAGGACCGGTACGGCACGCGACTGAAGATTAGCCGACTCATTCGACACTGGCACCGCGTTTGTCTGGCGCCTGTGAACGTGGACCGTGCCGTGAGTCGTGCACCCAAAGTGTTTCACTCTGTGATGAAAAGTGTGGTGGCGATGGTCTACAATGAGTGCGTGCCCCTATTCGACCCTGCATCAAATGGAGGCTTCCGCTCTGTTGCGCGCTTGGCAACTTTACCCACCATTTTGTTCAAGCAGAAGATGAAAAAGGGCAGGCTATTGTACTTCATTCGTGTTTTACGGCGATATGAGAAGGGACTTCGGACGCTGCAGCACTGGCCGGAACTTGCAAACATACCTGAGGGACATAGACTTCAGTTAGGGTGCGTGATTATGATCACATTGTTTAGCCACTTGCCTCACGTTGTGCGAGAGATTGTGGTGGACTTTGTTGTCCTTCCGTTTCTCGGCTTTAGTCACGCAGCTGGAAGCTCGCCGACAGGGTCAAGCAGCTGTTCAATGAGGAGGCAGTTGCTTTACCCTGTGCTACCGGAGCCGCTCTTCGACGTGTCGAAGGTGGGACTGGTTCCAAATCGGGTCCAGAACTCGGTAGTGTCCACGTGTGTCCGCGCGCTTTCCTCGGGTAGACACTGCCTACTGGTTGGTAGTGCCGGTGGTGGTAAAACTGCCATTGCCAAGGCGCTGGCTAAGGGAGCGGGAAAGGAGTTGTTTGTGTTCAACTGCCATGATCAAGCGGAGTCAGGAGAGTTGGTAGGCGACCTGGTGCCCTTGAATGTGGAATCTCTATTGACGCGTCTTTTGCACAAGCTGTTGGCGGATCTAAAAAACAGAGCGGAAATGGCTGAAGGATTGCGCGAGTTGGAGGCGATTGAGATGTCGATTCAGCCACGACGGGACCTGCTAGTCAATTTAGTAAAGCAATTAATCGGTTTCATGCCCAATGAGGAGGCAGAACAGTGGAAGACAGAGCTGGCTGAAATAGAAGCTGTCAAGGGAGTCCGTAGTGAGTTTCGGGAAGGGCTCTTATTGCAGGCGATTCGAACAGGCTCCTGGTTGTTGCTCGATGAAATTAACCTGTGTCCTGCTGGTGTTCTTTCCCGTGTTATTCCACTGCTACACGGCGGGGATAGCGTCCATTATACAGTCTTTGAAAATGGAGGAGAGTTAGTTCCTGTCCACCCCGGCTTCCGAATAATAGGCTCCATGAATCCACCCATGCCTGTCGACCATTTGGGCAACATTTCAGTGGGCGACCATGACTCGTCACTGGTGAGTCACAAAAAGCAATTGCCGGACACGGTTCGGGACTCCTTTATTGAGGTGTATTTGGATGAGATTCACGACTTGGAGGATATTGAGGCCATTGCCTCTGCTTGCCTCCCATTGGCGAAGCATTCGAGGCTAGTAGCAGAGTCATTTAATTTGTTGAAAAACGTAATAAATGGCCGGCGAGATAAGTCTCAAGTTACCACTGTGCTAAGTGTGGGAGGTAAGGGATGCTCTCTGCGGACATTGAGCAGGGTCTTGAAGTTTGTCGAGCGTAGAATTCTCGGCGCCAAAGGGGATTCGCTACGCTACTACGTTGAAGGCATGCTGCTGTTCTGTGGGTCGACACACCCAGATTCCGATAAAGTTATGTTGCAATTGCTATCCTCGTTCTTGCCTCAACAAGTCAAGGAATATCAGGGAATAGAGGATAGAGCCCTCAACTGCCTACCGCTGTACGATGGCAGGACGGCGTTTCATGAGTTTGTTAGAAACCTAAGGCCTAAAGTCGAACTTGTAACACAGAAGAATGCCCGCTATGATGCTGCAGGTAGTAGTGTACCAGGTGCATGCGGTACTCGAAAACTCGGTGCTGACGACTGTGTAGTTGGTGCACTGATTGAAGACCAATTCTTCATTCCTACCGGCGAACATCCTTTTGACTACGAGAGTGCCTGTCGTGAGTTTCTATGTCCACGTTCCGTAAAGCTTTTGATGAGGAAATTGATGAGGCTTATTCAAGGATCGATGACTCCCATTCTGCTCGAAGGTGCTACCTCAGTAGGAAAAACAAGTTTGGTAGAGTTCCTGTGTCGTCTTACCCACAACGAGTTCATAAGAATTAATAACCATGACCAGATAACAATGAGTGAATATGTCGGCTGCTATGTTCCTGACTCTACAGGAACTTTCTCTTTCCAGATTGGGCCGCTGCTGAAGGCGGTCCAAGATGGATCTTGGGTCGTACTGGATGAGTACAACTTGGCCCCTCAGGAGGTGCTAGAAGGGTTGAATAGGCTATTGGATGACAATCGAGAGCTGTTTGTGCCAGAATTAGATCGGACCTTTAAGGCACATCCCAACTTTCGAATGTTCGCCACACAAAATCCGTCCTCCTATGGTGGCCGCAAAGTCCTAACTGAGGCTATACAAAGCAGGTTCGTGCAGCTGCACGTCACTGAGCACGACGCGGATTCGTTGCTGCTCATACTCCTGGGCCGCTGTCCCGATATCTCCCCGGCTATAGCTAGAACTATGATCGCTGTTTACGAAAAATGTCGAGTGCTGCGTGGAAACAATGCCTTTGATGTTCTAATTACAATTCGAGATCTTCTAAGGTGGTCCAAGTTTAATCCCCTGGAGAAGCCCGATGACCTCATTCGGTCGGGGATGATAGTTATAGGAGAGAGGTTAAGGTCTTCCGAACAGCGGCAGGACTTCCACGACACCATCAGCTCCATTATACGTCCTAAGAAATGCCCCAAGGCCACTGCCATCCAATATGACATCAGAGACGCGGAGTCGTATGAGCAGATCGCAGGACTAAGTATGACGTATTCGATGAAGCGCTTGCTGTCGTTGGTGCAGTGGTCGTGGGAATTCAATGAACCCCTACTCCTGGTTGGTGTCACAGGATGTGGCAAGACTGCGGTCATTAACGCTGTGTCCCAGTTAACCAGTTTAAAGCTCACAGGCGATGTGGCCAAAAGAGGGCTCATAACCATAAACTGTCAGCAGAACACTGAAGTCAGTGACTTCATCGGGGGGTTCAGGCCTGCGATGGTGACTCAGGAAGATGTCAAGAATATTCTTGCCGCGTGGAAGTCTCTATTGGATGTTGTGGAGACTTTACCTACATACACCCAAGACATAAAAAAAGCCTACAAAGATCTCACTGCACGGTATGAAGAACAAGAGTTGTTAAATCAGAATGTTAGTAGATATATTGACCAATTCGGTAAAGAATCCTTAGCGCTTGCGGAACCCTGTTGTGTTTCGAGGCACGATTTAGTGACGATTAAATCCTTACTAGAAGATTGCAAACTTGCTATCCAACCGCAGACGTCTCACCAACCACCGACGGCTAGCTCGTCAGCACCCGTGGCAGCGCAAAAGGAAGGCGTTTCGTCGTCCCGAGAGAAACTGCTTTCTGACGACGAGCAGGGGGTAACCAATGCCGCGGATTTGAAACGAGTCTATACTGAAAGTTATCGCAAATTCAACGACGCTTACGACGAGCTGCTGAAACTGATTAGTCTGGGAACTCGAGCTTTTACGTGGCAAGATGGCCCTCTGGTTAGGGCGATGGTCGAAGGACGACCTTTCCTGATAGATGAGATCAATCTGGCTGACGACGCCGTGATAGAACGCTTGAACTCCGTGTTGGAAGGCTCCAGATTCTTGCGAGTCAATGACCGAATGGATCCTGTAATCAGGGCCCATCCTGACTTCCGAATTTTCGCGACCATGAATCCTGGCGGTGACTTCGGGAAGAAGGAGCTGAGTAAAGCTATGCGGAATCGGTTCTTCGAAGTATACGTCGACCGAGTTCAGTTCACGGACCCCAGCTGTGTCAAGATTGTTCATGATCGCCTCCGCCGAATATTCCGTTCCGAACACCATTCCGAGCGTGATAAGACACTGATTCACTTGCTTACCAAGATCGGTATCGACGTGCTTGTGTATTTGGAACAGATTTGCGTCAACGAAATCTCTATTCGGGAGATTGTGACGTGGCTCGACTGTACGGGCAGAATCTTCAAATCAACACACGAATTACAGGATAAGAACTCAACATATGTACCAGAGGATTTTGAGGCCTGTTTCCGGGCTCTCCTGCATGCCTTGTGGGCTACTATTTTAGATGGATTCGAGATTAGCCACCGGTCTACTAACACCCCACCTTCATTTCTCCTTGCCGACTGTCTCTCCAACTTGCCTGAGCCTAGCAACCCACAGGCTTGTATAGTTCTGAAAACTCTGGCGTCAATCCATGAAGTGACGCAACAGGCTATAGCACACTCGGATGCGGCGGCTGGTGCTGTGAACGTATCGAAGCTAGCCCAGGAATTCTATCCTGATGGATTAGGCTGGATGCATGATACCACGGTTCAGTGCTGTACTGGTTTGCTGAGACTTGGTCCCTTCCGCTTGGAGCCCAAATCGTACACAGGGGAGCTTCCCAACCAAGCCACGGGCATAAGCAATGGAGCGGTGAATCAGAGCCGTATGGACCTGGTGGCCTACCGAGGGTTGACGATGGATTCGCGGACAACGGTGGAAAACTTGGGTAGAGTGCTCCGCGCAATGCATGCGCCTCAGCCAGTGCTATTGGAAGGATCTCCGGGCGTCGGCAAGACTGCCCTAGTTCAATGGTTGGCTTCCGTGAGCCAGCGGCGTTTGTATCGGTTTAATTTGAATGAGCAAACAGATATTGGCGAGCTCGTGGGTTCATTTGCTCCCGAGGAGTCGTCATTTAAGTGGAAGGCGGGCGGCCTGACAGAGGCTTTATTGAATGGCGATTGGGTTCTGCTGGATGAGATCAATCTAGCTCCGCAGCCAGTGTTAGAAGGGTTGAATTCTCTATTAGATTTTCGACGTTGTGTATTCATTCCAGAGTTAAATAAAACGGTCTTTCCCCGGCCGGGTTTCAGACTGTTCGCTGCTCAGAACAGGCAGGCTGACGGCGGTGGGCGTAAGAGCCTGCCTCGATCCTTCCTTAATAGATTCGCCAAACTGATTGTCAATACTCTTACCCAAGAAGACCAGATAGCTATCCTTCATTCATTAAGTCCGGATTCCGATGAGCTGTGGCGACGAATCGTTGTGCAAGCGCTTGCAGACCTCAAGGCGGTTCGTGTGCCAAAAGCGGTCGCGTATTTGGAGTCTCGGTGGCTGCATCGGTTGTCAGGTTCTTGGGAGTGGAATGCCAGGGACTGTCAACGAATTCAAGCCGTAGGCAAGTGGTTGCGAGAAAGATTCGGATGGGAAGGGTCGCGGCTATGGCGATTGGCCTTCGATCTGGTATTTTACCGACGGTTTACTCACGGAAAAGACAGGGCCGTATATAGGGCGATAATGGATGAGTACCTACCATGGACTCCCTGGCCTTCGCAGCAGCAACTAATCGCAACTACCGGAAACTCGATCGCATCCTCGGCTCTCCGGCCCTCGACGCTTAAGTCCAGGTGTCTCAAGTCTTTGACGGAAGTGCAGGCTCAGTGTTTGCTGCCAGTAGTGGCCTCCATTGCGGCAAATCAACCAGTTTTGCTATCCGGAGGTCCCTTGGAAGGCAAAATCACTCTGGTGCACGCAGCCGCGTCTATTCTGGGATTGATTACCGAGGTAATGCACATGACGCCCATGACGGACAGCTCTGACTTAATGGGATCCTATATCCGAGAAGGAGAAGTACTCCGATGGGCTCCGAGTGTGCTTTGTCGAACAGTCGAGTCTGGTGGTATTCTGGCTTTAGTCGGCGTTGAGCACGCTGAAGCCGGTGTGGTCGACCGACTCAACGGACTACTAGAAAGGCATGGGTACCTAACATTTTCCGATGGCGGCCAGTTCCGGAGATTGAAACCCCACCCTGACTTCCGAATTGTATTGTTAGCAGCCACGGAATACCCTGTGTCACTCTCTCCAGCGGTCAGAAATCGCTGTATAGAAGTCTCAGTTCAGCTACCCGTGGTAGGAGGTGTTGAAAGGAAAAGAACCCCTTTGAACGAAATTATCGGATCCATGATTCGCAAAAATAGTGGTACCCGCAATGATGATGTTTTTGGCAGACTGAAGATCATTACAGAAAGTGGATGTCAAGTTGCCTTGCATATTGCCCGCTCAACTGGTCTTCTAAAGGGGAGAGACAATGAGGACATCACAGAGTTACATTCACTCTTTGAGTTAGGAGACCTATCTAGCTGGCTAGCATTGGACAACAGCGTGAAAAACATCTTACCACCAAAGTTGCTCGCAATTCTACCGTCTCGATTTTGCTACAGGATATTCATTATAAATCTCGTGATGATGATGTTATCCCTGACTGATGCGCCATTCATAAGTCAGGCACACGTGTGTGCCACGGCCGAAAGCGCCACGGCCGAGAGCGCCACGGCCAGGAAAATCGATAGACATGGGATGCTAAACTTTATTCAGCAGAGATTGATCCAGCTGGCCAAGGAGAACGTGGTGAGCGATTGTATGTTTGACTCAGTATGGAAAGCTGCAATGGCGTTCCAGATTCCTGACGAGGAGGCAATGATATTTGATAACATCCTTCGACTGCGGCAAGGGACTAGGGGCTCGTTTGCCGAAGAACTCAGACGATTGTATAATGCGGCGGGGGCGACCAGGAGTGGTATTCACGGGAATAATCGGGTAAATACGACTATCGCGGAAAGCGGCTCGGATGAGACTGGTCCAGTTGATGGTAAGCTAACCCCAGAAAGGATATTGCCCGGCGACGTGCTAGCTAGTGAAGAGGTATTTGAACGCGTTGCCGTGTTCTCGGGCGACGACATACCGACGACCGCCAAATGTCATGTGAACTCCCTGTCGCGCTTTGATATTGATCCGAATCTGATGCGAAATAGAATTGCGGCGGAGGAGGCTTTGACTTCTTGCAGTGGTGGGGCATTGATTGAGCTGTTTGCGTCAGAGGGACGAAAGTTGAAGGTTGATGAGAGGCTTATGGCATTGGTTGATTTGATGAGTCTCGGCCGATTGTCGGTGGAGCTGGAGAGGGTGCGGAAGCTCGTCGCTCTGCAACGGAATACATTGCCGGCCTCCTCCGATGCGTGTTCCGATGCTGTGGTAGAGGCAGCGGATCTGTACGTAATCCGCCAAACATCACTGTTGGATGTCTTGGCCCCGCCTGTGGCGGATATGGAGGCGTATCATTCGGAAGAGATTGTGTTGGGCGCAAAGTTTCAGACGTGGGTCTATGTCTTCGCCAACCTCAATCAGTCGCTGCTGGAGGCGCTGTATCCAAGTGAGACTTGCTTGCAAGTTCTTAGAACTATGGTTCTCAGCTGTCCGGAGTGTCCTTCGGACGAGAAGGCAGACACGTCAAGTGCAGAGCTGGCTGGCAGCTGGCAGCTGTTGAGGTCGGTTGTGCGTAGCTACTTTACGAGGTGCGAGAGCAACATGTGGGGTCTTGTGCAAGTCGCTGGGTCGACGGTCGAAGGCATAGCTGGGACCGAAACTCTACAAAAGGGATTCGGGCGATGGCTGCATCAGCGACTCGGTAACTACACCGAAACCGAAATAGAATCCTTGCGGGAACTTCTCAAGTCCCTTCAGACCCCCGAGCCCGGAGAGGCGGCGGTTGCCGCAATCATTGAGGAGTGCAGGGCAATGGGCGAAGGACCCAGCGACGACGCCGTTAAACAAGACGGCGCTGCGTGCACATCGACGAGCTGGGATTCTTTCTTAGCAATGAGGCAGGAGCTGGAAAGGATCGACGCCTGGACGCTCCCGCCTTCGGTGATCGCTCGCGTCAGTCGTGAGACACGTGTGCTTCAGTGCGTGACACACTTTGCTGTGACCACACTGGACATGGAAAACGACGAGCAAAATTATCAGCCCACTGCCATAGAGCCACCAGCCGATCCGTTGACGGGGATAGCAGTGAATTGGAAGGCGCTCCGATGACTGTGTGTTTTTTGATGCTCTCTGTATGACCTTTTTGTGATCACCTTAAGACCATTTTTATGTTCCCATATACCAGTTCGTTCGAAGTGGAGGAGGTGACTGACGAGAACCAGTCCTTGTCCTCGTCCTCCTCTGTGAGAACCCCTACCACCGTGCCGCGGACGGGGCCCACCGTGGATGTAACCCCGGGGCAGTGGCTCATGAATTCTGACTACAATCATTCGGTAAGAGCCGTTCCCGTTCCCCTTTTGCCCCCGTTCCATCACCACTAGTCCTGTTAGCGGCTTGCTGATGAGAACACAAGTGGCATGCTGTCGTCGGCGCATCATGAAGGCGGCTTGCCTGCGAATGTGTTGGAGTGCAGTGTAGAGACTCCGCGAGGGTCGATGCGAGGCTTGCCGGAGGGGTCGCCTATGTGGGCAAAGAACCACTTGCAGGAGACGGGGAACGTCAATATAATCGAGGATGAGCTCATCAAGGGCCAGCTTCTGAAAGCGCCTTCACGTTCCAAGTCGTTCAAGTCGGCTGACCGGAAGACGTCTGAAGAGGAGCGTTTGTACATGATGCGGGAGGGAATCAAACTCGATTTAGACTCCAAGCAAGACGCGAGTTACGTGAGCCATTTTGCCAACGGGCTCGGCACTCCGCCTGGCTGCGGCTCTGCCGTGGACACCCCCACCAGTGGCGCGTTACCTGACCCGCTTTCCCGATCGTCGGGCGTTACACCTCACGGCGCCGCCCACCCTGGCGACGCTTTGACAGTGCTGCAAAGTTCTAACAGTATTCCGAGCTCAAGCACGCCTCACAGCTCCGCCCGACCGCCATTAAGCTTTACGGATCGTCCTGCCCAGCCGCCGACGTCTCTCCCGTCGGACCACTGGGACACCCTTCACTCCCAGAACTTCCCAGCACAAGGGCTGCAGTCGCTAAGTCTGCAATCCCAAGGTCTGCAACCACAGGGTCTCTTATCCCAACGGCTCCAGTCTCAAGGTCTCCAATCCCAGGGAGTCTTACCCCAGGGTCTCTTGTCCCAAGGGCTCCAGTCTCAAGGGATGCAATCCCAGGGCCTCCTACCCCAGGGTGTCTTGTCCCAAGGGCTCCAGTCTCAAGGTCTCCAATCCCAGGGCCTCCTACCCCAGGGTGTCTTGTCCCAAGGGCTCCAGTCTCAAGGGATACAATCCCAGGGTCTGCTACCCCAGGGTCTCTTGTCCCAAGGGCTCCAGTCCCAAGGCCACCAATCCCAGGGCCTCCAGCTCCAGGGTCTTTCGTCCCAAGGTTTCCTGTCTCAGGGTCTCCCGTCTCAAGGTCTGGGCCGCCAGTCTCAAGGTCTCCAGTCTCAAGGTCTCCAGTCTTTGAACGGTGTCCAGTCTCAAGGTCTCCATTCTTTGAACACGCAGTCTCTAGCGTCCGGCCATGCGCACACCCAAAGTCTGCAGTCGCAGGGTTCTCCTTCGGGGCATCCTTCGAATAGCCTGCAGTCTCAGAGTCTACAGTCGCAAGGTTTACTTTCGGGGCATCCTTCACAAAGCCTGCAGTCTCAGAGTCTACAGTCGCAGGGTTTGCCTTCAGTACATCCTTCACAAAGCCTACAGTCTCAGAGTCTGCAGTCGCAGGGTTCTCCTTCGGGGCATCCTTCGAATAGCCTGCAGTCTCAGAGTCTTCAGTCGCAGGGTTTGCCTTCAGCACATCCTTCGCAAAGCCTACAATCTCAGAGTCTGCAGTCGCAGGGTTTGCCTTCAGCACATCCTTCGCAAAGCCTACAATCTCAGAGCATTCAGTCGCAAAGTCTTCAGTCGCAAAGCTTGCAATCACAAAGCTTGCAGTCTCGAAGCGGCCCGTCACGACAATCCCTTGAATTGGTGGTGCATCACTCAGTTCAGTCCCTGAATATGCACTCTACAGGTACCCATACAATGGGTTCCCATACAGTGGGTTCTAGCACAATAGGATCTCATTCAATAGGCACCCAATCTCGGATGTCTGACATGGTGGCTCACGGATTTTCGCATGCCGTGGATGGCCTCGACTATATACCGACTATGGCGCCCGTGATGAAGCCGCAGCTACAGTCAACCATTTCCTCACCCACAGGGCGGAACTCTCAGCCAAATTCAGACCAGAGCCGGGAAACGACGAGCCATCAGAATTCGGGTAATGATTACCTGCCTTATACGAGCAGTGCTCAGCAAATTGCGGGACAGCGAAGTGGAGGCCAGGCTGGTGTGAACCAAGCCAGTTTGAATCGTCAAGGTCTGAACGAGCCAGGCTTGAGCCACCATAGCGTGAACGGCGTCGGAATGACTCTAGGCGGGAGCTCAATCGGAATGAGCCTCACAGCTAGCCAGATGGGTCTAGGTCCGGGCACTGGTCTGGATCAGACCCTCTACTCACTGGATCCCATACAAGACTCAACTCTGGGCCGACCTGCACTAGGTCCATCCATGCTTGGCCAACATATGTCACCCCATGGATACCCCACGCTGGTTCAATCCCCTTTGAGCCCACCAATGTCCCCTGACGGTCAACCCATGTCTTCGTTGATGCAACCTAGAATTGGACAAGCCCATTCCACACTTGAACAAGGCTATCCTTCTTTTGATCACCCGTTACTGAATCAGCCCGTCCCTTCGATGGCTCAATCTCTTCCTTCAATGGCTCCGCGTGTTGCTTCAATGGGGCAATCTATCCCATCAATGGTTCAATCCATCCCTTCAGCGACCCAACCTATGTCTCAAGCTGTCCCTTCAACGGGACAATCTATCCCTTCAATGACTCAGTCGATACTAGGTCGGCCGGTGTTAGGCCGAGTGGGCGGCACGTTCATGCAGGGCGGTGCAAACCCGTTGGTTCAAGCGGGAATGCTTCAGCAAAGTATGCGCACTCAGTTTGCCCACGGAGAAGACCGTGCAGTGAGCCAGCGGAGCAACCATGGCGTGAGCTACCGGAGTCAGAATGAGCGCGACTTCGGCAGCCCCGACTACAGCAATGCCGACTCCGACAGCCCAGGAATGGGCCCCTCAGGAATGGGCTCTTCAGGAATGAGTCCCTCAGGAATGAGCCCCTCAGGAATGAGTCCTTCAGGAATAGGTCATTCAGGAATGGACAGCCCTGCCATGGGCTTGCACAGATTCGACAGTGGCAGCGAGGACAACGATTCCGTGGATAAGCGTAGCTTGGACAGTCACAGCATGAACAGCCGCAGCTTGGACAGTCGTAGCCAGGCCAGTCGCAGCGTGGACAAGCGCAGTCTTGCTAGCCGGAGCGCAGACAAGCAAAGCCTTGCTAGCCGCAGTGTGGACAAGTGTAGTCTTGCTAGCCGCAGTGTGGACAAGCGTAGCCTCGCTAGCCGCAGTGTGGACAAGCGTAGCCTCGCTAGCCGCGGTGTGGATAAGCAAAGCCTCGCTAGCCGCAGTGTGGATAAGCGTAGTCTGGCTAGCCGCAGTGTGGGTAGCCGCAGCATGGACAAGCACGACATAAACTTCCACGACTTGAATTCGAACAACTTGAGTTCACGCAACTTGAATTCGAACAACTTGAATTCGCACAACTTGAATTTGCAGAACATGGCTGGTGTTGAGATGAGTCCACTGAGCGTGAGTCGGCTGTTGGCTCGTGAAGATGAGTTGGAGCGAGAGCTGGAGCGCGCGCGGGCCTTGGAGCGGGAACAGGAGCGTTGTCGTCAGGAGATGGAGCGCCAGTTTGAGCGTACGGCGGCATTGGAGCGACAGCAGAGCATGCTGAGAGCCCAGCAGGGTGATATGCAGCGGGAGCAGCATCAGAGGCTGCAGCAGGAGTTGGCGGCCCGGCAGGAGGAACATGACCGCGAGTTGGCGGAGCATGCGAACAAGTTGGAGGAGCAGAAGCGGGCGCTGGAGGAACACCAGAGGACGTTGGAGGAGCGTCAGAGAGAGTTGGAGCGTCAGCTGGAGCGCAACCAAGAGTTGGCGCGCGACCACGAGGAGTTGGAGCGAGACCACGCGGATGAGTTAGAGCGTCAGCTGGAGCGGAACCGCGAGTTGGAGAGAGAACATGCGGAGACGCAGGCGGTGTTGGAGCGGCAGTTAGAGCACACACGCGAGCTGGAACGGGAACAGGAATTGCAGCGCGAGAAGGCGGCTGCGGAGGAGCGTGAGGCAGAGCTCCAACGGACCGAAGAGAGAGAGCGGCAGCTGCGGGACGCGAGGCTGGAGGAGAAGCGCCGTCGCGAGGAAGCGCGCAAGAGCAAGTGGGAGAAACAGATTGCACTGAAGGAGGAGATTGGGCTGATCGACCAGGAGAAGGCCCGGCTCGAATCTGGCCAAAAATGGCTCAACAGTGAGCATGAGCGGATCAACAGATATGCCAAGAGGCTCGACGATCTGGAAGAAAGCCTGCAGAAAAGACGCGAAGATACCGTCACCCCCCAGGAGGAACTGGACCAAAAAGAAGCCGTTCTCAACGACCGAGAAGAGGAGATCGTCGCCCTCAAAAAGGAGGTAGGCAACCTGCAAACGCAAGTACAAGCCCAATGGGTAGAAGTCTACGTCGAAGAACAGAAGCTACAAGCCGCCCAATCGCGCCAAGCGGCCCGCCTCCGAGAAGAGCAACAGAAACAAGCCCAGCGGGAAACCAACCAAACCAAGTTCGTCCCTCTTATGGACGGCTCCACTCCCGCCTACGTCCCCTCAAGCAATGACCAGGCAACTATTATACCCTCTGTCGTCCTTGTGCCGTCCGTTGCGCCCCAGTGCGACCTCCTGTGGCAAACCACAGGAACCGTTATGGTACCCAACCAGAAAAGGATGAATCCGAATTTCTAAATCTTTTTCACATCAACATGCACGTCGTGTCAGAACCAAACCGTCGTCGTGAGAAGCAAACCGCTGTGTGAGAACTGAAGCCGCCGGCTGTGTCTGGCGAGAGAGACCAGGAGGACTAGAATTATTCGTAGACGGCACGCTGACCAGCGTGCTGATAAACGAGCGAAGCTCAATCCCCTATGGATATGGACCCAAGACCCCTATAGACAAAGGTTATAATTATTGCCGTGGGGATCTGAAGCCCCTTGCGATGGATGCGTCGAACTGCTAAACTTACGACACCTACAGAAACAACCAAAGCCGAAGGGAGCTAAAACAACGAAGGCGAAGGGAGCTAGAACAACGAAGCCGAAGGAAGCTAGCTGATGGGACTCTGATCCGTCTTGGCGTCCCGGGTTTCAGTATGCGGCCCCCAGGTCCGCTAGCTTTGAGGCAACGCTTCGAGGCGCCGCTGGGTTTGCGACGGCTAGCAGAGAATCTCGCATGGGGAAGGGTCTAGGATTATAAAATTATTGCAATGCGCGCTGGCCTCCGAGGGAGGAGAGGAGCCTTGCGGCGCTTTGCGTTGGTGTTGTTGGGAATGCCAGACGCGGAAGGCTTGCTGTGGTTGCCTAAATTGGAGAAGTCGAGTTGGTTGAAGAACGATCCACGTTCGCCGGTGCAACTTGCGCATCGTGCTCGTGTGCAGGAGGCTATCAAGAGCGAGCCGTGGGACAAGTTGCACCACGTCACTGAGTCCGGGTTTGCGCGCTGTACCGTCGACTACCTGGAGCTGGCGCACGCGTTGTCCACACGTGTGCCGCAGCCCTGTGGCGTAGTCTGGAACACGGCCGTGGGAAAAGCATATCGTCCGGGGGTGACTAGGCGTCCGCAAGAAATGTTTACTCAGGGAACGATTGACTACGACGACGATGTGTGGGTGAGCGGGTGTCTTCTGCAGTACATGGAAGCTCCCCTGACGAAGTTGGCGGATGTTTGCGTCAACCAGCTTGACTACAAGCGTCCGCCACACCCAGGTTTGCTCGGCTGCTTCCGGACACTATACGACCCGTACACACTACCCCCCGGCGCGCCGGAGTCGTTCGCCGACGTTCTGGCCGAGCTCCATGTCCCGATCTCCTGGGACGAATTTAGAGCGAGCCAGTTGCTGAGCTTCTCCGAAAGCTGCCGCTTTGTACAGGGACTTCGGGACCGGGGGCGACAGTTGCTGAGCTGCTCCGAAAGCTGCAGCTTTGTACAGGGACTTCGGGACCGGGGGCGGCTGGCCGAACTCCCAGACGAGGCCGGGGCCGGCACGTCAGCGCGGTCGCTTGCTGGCGAGACGCCTGCTGGGGAAACGCTGGTGCATGTCCCGTTCTCCGGCTGGCTGACACCGTTTTCGCAGGTGTTTAAGGGTGAAGCGGAAGCCCACCAAGCCATCCGGAAGTTGCTGCACGACGGTCAGTGGAAGAAGATCCAGCAAATGAAGCCTGCAGATCTGAAGACTTGCAGAATGGATTACCTGGAACTGGGCCGGATTATTTCGTTGTATATGGACCATCCTTTCGGCTACTTCTTTATAGACCCGAACACCAAAGCAGTTATGACAAGGGCCCGCTTGGCTGCCGCAGGTGGTCAGACTGCCGCAGGTGGTAAGCCGGCCAGTGAGGCACTTGGGATCGACTATTCCTCGAGGCAGTGCGAAGTCTGGACGACCGGCTGCATGCTGCAGTCTGCTGCTGTTTCGACCGATGCTCTTGTCGAGTTCTGCTCGAAACAACTTGGGTACAAACCGGCGGGCAACCCGTGCCAATACGAGTGCTTGAGAGCTGTGGCTCTAAGTCCCCATGTTCATGCGGCGAGACTGGAAAATAAGGCAACCGAACGCCTAGCCACTTTAATCGAGAGCTCTCGGTGGAACGTATCACTTGACGAATTCATTGTCAGGTCGTCAACGCCGCAGAGTGACAACACAGCATTCGTTAGGTGGGAGCGCAGCCGGAATGGCATACAGAAGCCCCTCAACAAACAGAAGGGGAGTGGATGGGCAGCCGCACGTGGCGCCATCGGAGCGGGCAAGCGCATTCGGGAACAGGGCCCGACAGAAAACCGTGATGACTTTGACATCGCTTCCGACTCGGGACCCGATCGTAAGCGAGCAGGAGATTCGGCCCCAGAGCCAGAATCGAGTGGTAAGCTGCGGTTGAGCAGCAAGCTGCGGTCGAGCGGCAAACTGCGGTGGCGGGGCAGGCTACGGCCAGCGTCACGTGGCGCCGTTGCTGCAGCCCCTGATGACGAGAGTTCGCCAGATCCACGGGCTCGCAGAGACCAGCCGTCTTTCGAAACGTCGTCTGAAGCTGGAAGTTCGGACTGGGACTTAGAGGTGCCACTGCAGCTGTCTTTCGAAGCGTCGTCTGAAGCTGGAAGTTCGGACTGGGAATCAGAGGCGCCGGTGAATCTGTGTCCGTTGGAACGGCTGGCGGTCCTGGCTCCTCCGGTCGTGAACACACAGTGGCAGGGTGCATTGGAATCCGTGAGTGAAGAATGGGTCGACCCGGTTTCGCCTTTCATGGACGCGGACTACGGTCCGAGCGAATTGGCGGATCTAGTGCGAAATCTTGGTCAAGACTTGGTGTCACCTCCCGCTTGCTGTGCCGAAGTGCCTGTGGGCGCAGGGGTCAGCGTCGTGACAGTACCAGCGGCGAGCTCATTGAGTGAAAGGACTCCAACCGAGACTCAGGTTTCAGCGGGGACTCAGGCTATAACGGGGACCGGGACTGAGATCACTGACGACTGGTTTCCTGATCCGGATACGTCCATGATTGCGGTGGGTCAGACTACGGGTTGCGACTGGCATTTAGAGGGCCTCACTGACGCTGATTTGGACGTCTTGGAGGACATCAAAGAAGCCATAGGTGACGTGGATTTCGAAGTGACGGCAGAAGAGTATGAGGCTTTGGAGCCGTGCCTGAGCCAACTTGTGGAGTTAGCGGAGATGCCCGTCAAGCAGGAGGACCCGATATGCATAGAGTCTTCCGATGATGATGACGTTGTATGCACAGGCCGCCTGCTGCCGACTATAACCGGTCCCATGATAACCATCGACGTACCGGACGATGAGTCAGACGACTCTGATGAGATTATTTTCGTAGACAGCAGCAATCCACCCGGCCAAAAGCCCAGCATATGAGTACAGTCTTACATTTTATTACCTCATCTGCGCGTAACGTCTAAGCGCGCGGTGGAGAGTTCTCGGCCTGGAGAGTTCTCGGCCTAAGTTATGAAGGTCTGCGGCCAAAAAAAATCAGTTCTCGTAGAGGACTTTCCTGATTTCGGGCAATTTCTGTTGGACGACGAGTTGGAGGCGCGAGTCGAAGGTGTTGTCGCACTTAATTTTGCGGTCGGCGGAAGTGACTACGACGCCGCCGGTGCAGCTGGCGGCAGCACTTGCGTCGTCTGCATTAGAGGCAGGTGCTGGCGGGAGGTAGAACTCTTTGTCGAGCTCGGCCTTCACTGTCTGACCCTTGATGCCAGCGTTTTCGAGGATAGCTGAGTATTTTTGCTGTGCTGCCTTCAAAATGTCGTTTGTGACCACGTTCTCATCCTGCTTCCGGATACGCACCAGCACGTGGGGCTCCATCAACCGGAGCATGCATTGTACTATCAGTTCACAGCACAGTCTCGAGTATTTGCTCTGGTCCTTGCCCAACTCCTGCAACGATTTACTCGCAGTCTTCACGGCGTCATTAATCTTCATCTGGCGCGCAGCTATTTTCTTCAAACGCGCCTTGTTGATCGCCGCGGACTGCGCAATCGCCCGGTTCGTTTCAAGATCCTTTGCCTTTTTCCGGTAGTTCTGCCGAATCTTCTCCTTCATCGACTGCAGAGCCTTCAACTTCTCCACGTTGAAATCTTCCTGGGACTTAGCCTCAATCTCCGCCGCCTTGTCCTTCGCTTCGTTGATGATAAAAGCAACCATCTGGTCTATTTGACGTTGAGCATCGGCGTCCTCCATCCTTTTTCTCTACAATCAACTTTTGACCCCCGTCCGTGTGTTCCTTTTCCCGTCTCGGTGCGGTCCGTCTCGGTGTGGAACCAAGTGCTGGGGGCTGCAGGGGCGACGCATAACAGTGCTGACAATGTCTCCTACTTGATCTAAGATCTATACGTTAATAATCAAAACTTAAATTGTGACGCACAAAATAAACGCACACGCACGCGCGATTTTCAACGCGTCGCTCGAAAGTGAGTTCCGAAGAATAGCCCCCTCAGTGCTGACCCCGCCCGCTCCTGATCCCACTTCAGTGCTGGACGTTTGCGGACCCGACCCCGTCGTTTTCAATATAAAAGTGTCAGCAAGGCGACCAGTTGTTCGCCCAGTGCTCGTAAAGACGATCAGTCCTGCCTCCTGTGCAAAGCAGACGGAGAGCGTGGAAGGCGCAGCGAACATAAAGGTCTAGTACCTCTCGATACCCGCCATCATGCGCCAGCAGCCGTATCACCGCCTTGCTATCTGAACAGCCAAGAATGTTCAGGCACATATCAGCAGGCTCGCTTGAGGCAGCAGACGACGAGGCGGCAGGCAATTCCGACTGCACTGCCTTCGCCAACCGACGCCAGGCTTCCACCCAAAGCTCTGACCCGGGCGTCAAAGCATAACAGTCAACCACCAACTGACCTTTCTTGCACGATTCTCCACTCACAAGTATTGAAGGGCAGTCAGGCGCCTGGCACCCAGGTTCGTGGCAGACGTCTTGTCGCTCGTTACGATCTGGATACATAATTCGAAGCCATTCGACATCAGTGGTCTGATTCTCTGGCTTCAAAGAAACGTTATCGAATCCTGGAGAGCGCTCCCTAGGTGTGGGTGAATACTCGGAAATAGACGAGCAAGGCGAGGCAATAATCTCGCTCGACACGGCGCCCAAAGCATTAGCGTTCTCGATCGGATTGACACATTCGATCGGATTGGCACATTCGATCGGATTGCTGTCATCGATCGGATTGCTGTCATCGACATCTGGGGGTTCAACATCGGATCGAGACTCACTAATGAGCGACGATTCCTTGGAAGGTTCCTTTTCAATAGTGAAATCCTTGGGATGGTGTTTAACGACATATTCGGCGATCAATTTTGCGTAGAACGTGCTTCGCTTCTTGAGGACCTTCAGAACAAGAGCTTGTGCACTAGGGCGGGGAGGTGCGGTTGCGTTACAGCACTCTATATTCTTTACCAGCTCGTTGGCGGCAAGGGACTCCCAGTCTGGGCGCTGGTCTGAGTTATCTTGTAAACATTGACATATGTAATTCTGGACAGTTCGTGGTAGGTAAACTGGAATATCGAGATCATGATATTGAGCTCGGACATAAACCAAAAATTCTGATGGGGCTTGAAAAGGTGGTGCGCCAGTAGCCAGCTGATAGAGTAAGCAACCGAGGCTCCAGATGTCTGATTTGTATGAGGTTACTATTCGATTGCGTCGACTTTCAGGAGGCATGAAGTTGGCCGTACCGACATAAAATTTAAGTGATTTTTTTGATCGTCCGTGAGACGATCGATTTCCTGCTAACGTCTCATCATATGGTAGAGATATATCCAAGGCCGAGCCAAAATCTATGAATTTCAGTAGTGTGTTATTTGTCATCTTGACTATATTTTCTGCTTTAACATCTCGATGAACTAAATTGCAACGATGAATATATTCTAAACCTGTTGTTATTTGCTTCCACCAGTCCCGCAGTTGATCGTAATTATGCACTCCTAAATAACGGATATCCTCCCATAATTCTTGACCTTCGCAAAACTCTTGTACCAAACCTAGTTCTAAGTCAGTAGCAAATGTATGGTACAGCTTGCATATGTGCCTTGCACCATGATTCAAAGTGACTTTACCCATGGTCTCCTCGACCGCCGTTTCCTTATCCTTGATAGCGTTTTTTGAGCGTCCTTTCAGTCGTGTGAAGCTTCGTCGAGTTTCGTCATCACGGTAGGAGTCAGGATTCAATTTGATTAAGCAATGCTTCTCCATTAGGACCTCTAGTTTTTTGCCCAACCTGTCCATCTCCAAACGATCTATCATCTTTAGGGCGACCGTTTCGCCGGTAGATTTTATAGTCGCTTCGTATACCTTCGAGAAATTGCCTTCGCCAACCAGCTTCTCTATAATGAAATCATCTACATGGAGCTGCACGGGGAAAAAGGTCGGCCACGTCCCACTCACCTACCTTAGGCATACTTATAAAAAAAGGGCCCGTGCCCGTAACTAAGCTGCGATGGCGGGAAAGAATGCGGAGGCCCGGCAGCGGAAGAAAGAGAAACAGTCTCTGAAGGCAATGAAGAAGGCCAATAAGGGGACTGACGAGCAGAACATCCTAGACATTATGAAGTCGTTGGAAGACACGCCAGATCCGAATGTGGCGACCAGTGGAAAGGCAGCTGCGGCGATTTTTCGTATGGCCAGGAGCTCCTTTACCTTCATCCCGACTAAGACCGGCTTCGTGATATTCGGAGGTGAGTTTTACGACACCAAGACGTGCCGCGTTTTCGGGGACACGTACAAGTGGGCTATTGACAAGGACGACGAGAACCAGTGGAAAGAAGTGGGTCGACCGGGCGGCCCGAAGCCGCGTGTGGGGCATGCTGCGTGTGTGTATAACGATGAGCTATACGTGTTTGGCGGCGAATTCGCCACGGCCTACCAGTTCTACCACTTTAAAGACTTGTTCAAGCTAGACATCAAGCAGGGCCTGTGGAACGTGTTGGACGACGGTTTGTCTCCCCAACATGGAGAGAAGAGCAAGAGCAAGGCCAAGAGCAAGACCAAGGAGGCAGCGGCCAGTCCCAGTGGACGCAGCGGTCACCGCATGGCCGCCAGCCGCAACGGTCTGGTGGTCTTCGGCGGCTTCCACGACAACGGCAAAGAGACGCGGTACTTCAACGACTGCTATATCTATTGGCCCGCCATCCGCCAGTGGCAGAAGGTCGCAGCGGCCTCGAAGGACACGCCTGACCCCCGCAGTGGATTCATCATGGGTACGACCAATGACGGTGTCCTCATCAGCGGAGGCTATAGCAAACTCAAGGACTCTGATACCGGCGCCCAAGGTACCGTCTATGATGATATGTGGTGGCTCGACTTGGGCCCGCTGCACAACGCCTCGGCCAAGACGGACGGCAAGTCGGACACGACCGCGGCCGCCAACAACCTGCAGTGGACCCGACTCAGAAAAAAGGCGATTCCGAGAGCCGGGATTGCGTCTTGTCAACATAAATCGCTCATCTACGCCTTCGGCGGAGTCATGGACCACGACGATGGAGGTCTCACCATGAAACGGTCTTTCTTCTTCAACGATATTTGGACGCTAGACCTAGGTTCCAAGCAGTGGAACCCCCTCAACAAGAAACCCAAGACCTCTCAAGAACCAGCTGTCCTGGAAACGTCTGTGGGCCGAAACTCTCCCATTCTTGTCGAGAACGCTCCTTCTCCAACTCTGACGTTTCCAACCCCGGCGTCACTGTCCCTGGAGACCCCGGCTCTGGGCTCGTTGGCCGCAGCGTCGGGTGGCCGGCCTCGTTCGGAGCGCAATGAGCTGGCAGATGAGAGTATAGTAAAGGAAAATGTAGTTAAGGAAGGTGTAGCCAAGGAAAGTGACACCACTAACTCGCGGGACTATGTGACGGGCTACCGGGTCAAGCGGTGTTCTTTGCAGAAGGTTTTGCTCAGAATCTCTTTGCTGAAGGAGGCCGAGAGGGCGGATAAGTCGAAGAAGTCAAGCGGTAAAGCGAAAGAGACTGCGCCATCCAAGAACAGCTCATCTAAAGGTAAAGAGCCAGTAGTAAAGGTGGTGGAGACGATCGAGCTTTCCTCTTCTCCAGAAAGCTTGTGTGCTCCTATACCCAGAATCAACGCGTCCATCGCGGTGCGCGACAACGCTCTGTGGGTGGCCGGTGGCACGTTGGAGGTTTCGTCAAGCCAAATCATTGTCTTCGACGACGTGTGGAAGTTCGACTTGAAGCTTGGTTTTTGGAGTTGTGTTGTACGAGGCAAGTACTCTGAGCTCGTGAAGCAAGCGCCCAAGGGCCAAGACGTTGCAGAGAGTAGCGGTGACACCGACGAGGACGACGACAGCGCTAGTGATGACGATAGCGGCAGTGACAACGAAAGCGGTAGTGATACAGACGCTGAGGAAGATGAGACATATTCCGATGAATCATCATGTGATTTGGACGACTCCAGCAGTTCCGCGTGTGCGTTGGCCAGCAGTTCGGAGGCAGAGTAGACCCGAATTCGTTTGTTCGCCGAATTTGTTGGTCGCTTTGGGTAAGTTCGTTTGCTTTTTTGATGGTTGCGGGGGGATTAAAAATCGTATGCCGACGTTCTTGTCGTTGACGTTGGAGGGTGCGACGGCTATTTCGAAGGCGGTGGTGGGTAGTTTCTCGGCGTCGCGGGTGCAGGAGATAGTGGCGGCGCAGGGTACCGGCTTGGTGTTGTACAGAGCTTCGGAAGAGGGGGAGTTGACGCTGGTAAGTCGCGAGGAGACGTTCGGGTTGGTTCGGGAGGTGGCTGCGTTTCGGCTGACGGGGATGCAGCGTGACTACGTGGCGCTAACATCGGACTGTGGACGCATTGTGGTGTTGCAGCTCGAAGGGTCGCGTTGGAAGCGGCTGCACTCGGAGACTTACGGCAAGACCGGTGTGCGACGGGTGGTCCCTGGCCAGTTCCTGTGTGTGGACCCGAAGGGCCGCGCACTCATCATTGGGGCAGTGGAGAAGCAAAAGTTTCTGTATATAGTCAACCGCGACAACCAGAACCGGTTGGAGATCTCGAGTCCGCTAGAGTGCCACCGCGCGGGCCAGGTGACCTTCGATATGTGTGCGCTGGACGTAGGCTACGAGAACCCTGTGTTTGCTTCTCTCGAGGCCACTACCGATCCCCCACAGTCGCGGAAGCAGGTCTGCTTCTACGAAATGGACCTGGGGTTGAATCACGTGGTAAAGAAATGCAGCATCGACGTCGACCCCACGGCCCACTGCCTAGTGCCCGTCACCGCCGGGGAAGACTTCCAGGACGGCCCCGGCGGCGTACTCGTGGCCTGCCACAACTACCTCGTGTTCGTGAAGCCGGACCACGAACAAATCTGCTGCGCCCTTCCGCGCAGACTCGAGATGGCCGCCGACCGCCCCCTCATGACTGTGTGCTGGACCGCACACAAAATGCGCGATTTCCACTTCATTCTCGTCCAGAGCGACTACGGCGACCTATACCGTGTCGAACTGCGGGCAGACGGCCCGCTTCTCCACGAAATCGTCGTTCGCTACTTTGACTCCATTCCCGTGGCCAGTTCGCTCTGCGTACTGAAAACCGGCTACCTGTTCGCTGCCTCCGAAGTCGGCGACCACATCCTCTACCAGTTCCTCGGCGTCGGCAGCGATGAAGAGGACGTAAAACTGTCCAGTTTCCAAAGCGCGGCCGCCCTTCCCAGTGAGGCGGCCGGCCTTTCCAGCGAGACCGCCGCCGACGGCATGGACGGCGCGGCGCGGGTGATTTTGCCATTCCGCCCGCGAGGGTATCGGAACATCGTGCCGGTGTCGGCCTGTGCGTCACGGACGCCGTTGACGGAGATGAACGTGGTGGATTGTATCGGATTGACTCAGTCGCCACAGGTGTACGCGTTCCGGGGCGCGGGTCCGAGTTCGAAGTTGCTGATAATGCGGTTGGGGTTGGGTGTGACGGAGGTGGCCGCGTCGGAGGTCCCCGGGCGGCCGTTGGGCGTGTTTTCGTTGTCGGAGAGTTCGGGGTCGCCGGTCCACTCGATTTTGTTGTTGTCATTTGCGTCGAACACGTTGGTGATGCGCGTGACTGACACGATTGAGGAGATGCCAAACACCTCCCTGGCACAAGACCGCTGTACGTTGCACGCGGCCACGCTGGCGGACAGTTCGATCCTGCAAGTTACGGAGTCGGGCTGGATGCTGCTGCAAGTCGCGGAAGACGGCCCAACCGTACAGGGCGGGTTCGCAGTCCCACGGCGCACCTCCCAGTGGCGCGTGCCGCCGGGCAAACGCGTTGTCAGCGCCTGCTCCAACGCTACCCAAGTCCTCCTTGCTCTCAACGGCGGACTCACGGTTTACTTTGCGCTTGAAAACGGCGCTCTGCTCGAAGTAGACGCGCGTGACCAGGGCATCGAGATAACGAGCATGGCCCTCGTACCCACCCACAGTGACCTGCCCCAGAAGGGACTATTTGGCGTCTTAGCCGGCGTTGATCGCCTCATCCGAGTCGTCGCCCTCGACGGCGACCGCCCGCTTTGGCATCTGCTCTCGCAGTACCAGGTTCCCAACGACTCGCACGCCGAGTCCGTGCTCCTCACCACGTCGCCCCAGCCCTCGGAGCTGAGTCTGCTCATTGGACTGAGCACGGGCGTGCTCCTTAAGCTTGGCGTCGGACTTAACACCGGCGTCATCGGCGTCGGCCGCCCACGCCGCAAGTTTATTGGAGCCAACCCCGTCAAACTGACCGAAGTCGACGCCGCCGCCGATGGTGGCGGCAGCGTCAAGGGTGCCGCCGTGCTCTCCACCAAGCCCTGGCTTGCCATCGGACACCAGGAACTCCAGCCGCTCGTCTCCGGTCCCATCGACTGTATATGCTCCCTCAACACCGACCACTGCGCCTGGGGCTACGTAGCCGTCGTCGACAACGTCATGAAAATCGTCAACCTCGTCCGCAACCCACACGACAGCCTCTTCTCCACCGTCGAGGTCCCGCTCCTCTACACACCCCGTAAAGCGACTGTCTTCCCACCCCCACCGACCCTGCACGAAAAACAAGACGCCCTGCTCAAAGGACTCCCCATCATGCTGGTACCCCCCACGCCACTCCGGCCTTGGCTCATGGCCGTCATCCAGTCGGACCACAATGCCTTCGACTTGGCTACACAGGCTCAAATCAAACGCGCTCTCGAAGAAATAGACCTGGGTCAAGGCCCCGCCGCCGGCGCACCTCAAGAGCCAGGCGCACTTCAAGAGCCTGGCTCGGCGCCGGAATGGGGTCTCGGAGGCGATGCGACGGTTGCCCAAGCTGATGCAGCTGCCCAAGCCGATGGAGCCATCAAAGAGGAGGAGCAGAAGCCGGAACCGTTCGATGCTAAGCAAGAGGGAGGCGGGCAACAAAAAGCAGCGCAGGCGGGTCTGTCGGTGTCTGGAGGTGAGGACTCGCTGGAGGCGGAGTTCGAAGCGGGGTTGGCGCAACAGTCGGGAGTTGAAAGTGACCAAGTGGAGGGTCAGAAGGGGGTCGAGGGCCAGGAAGGGGTCGAGGGCCAGGAAGGGGTCGAGCAGTCAGCGGTGGCGGGGGAAGAGGAGTATGGGCCGACGCCGGAGCAAATTGGCACGTTCAAGGCGGGCGACGGAAAGTGGGGCGGCGCGTTGCAGTTGATATCGCCAATGACGGGTGTGTTGTCAACGGTTTCGTTCGGTGTGGATGAAGCACCGGTGAGCATATGTGTATGTCAGTTCATGGAGTATCCGGAGCACCCGGCGTTGGTGGTGGGTACGGTGACGGGGTTGAGTTTGAAGACGCGTAAGTGTCTGCGGGGGGGGTTGCGAGTTTATGTGTACGACGCAGCGGGAGAGTTGGCTTTGTACCACGAGACGCCGTTGGAGGATGTGCCGTACGCGTTGTGTGCTTGGCAGGGTAGGTTGTTGGTGTCGGTTGGGCATCGGTTGCGTATCTACACGTTGGGCAAGAAGCGTGTGTTGAAAAAGTGCGAGTATAAGAACCTGCCGCTGGGTATCAACTGGATTGCCGTGTATGAGAACCGGTTCTACGTGTCCGACATTCGAGAAGGCTTCCACGTCCTCGAATACGACGCCATCGAGAACTCCATGAAGGTCATTGCTGACATGATTGTACCCAGGTGGATCACGACTGGTGAACTTCTGGACCCCTACACCATCGCCGGCGTCGACAAGTTCGATAACTTCCTCGTCACGCGACTCCCCATCTCCGTATTCAAGAAAAACGCCAACGTGGACACTACTCCAATCACCACCAAATCAGACCTCTCGTACCTCACCGGCCGAAATGATAAGCTAGAAAGACTCTGCGAATTCCACCTGGGCGACATAGCTACCGCCCTACACAAATGCCAGCTCACCCTTAACGGCTCAGAATTGCTCCTATATACAACCATACTCGGCGCCATTGGCGTCATGATTCCGCTGCAAACACAAATTGAAATCGATTATTTGTCCCATCTCGAAATCCTTTTGCGGAACGAAGATGTCTCTCTGGTCCATAGAGACCACCTCTTCTTCAGAAGCGCCATATTCCCAGTTAAAAACGTAATCGACGGTGATCTGCTGATGACGTACCAAAAACTCCGAAGCGATAGGCAACTGTGGATCGCGCAGCAGATGGACCGAACACCCAACGATATTATTAGATTGCTAGAGGATATACACAATCGCGTGGTTTGAGTGTGGCCATAAATGCGCGCTCGCACACGTGCGCGCACTGCATTTTGTCACCATAATTGCTCCCCTAAGGTGGACTCCTCCCAAAGGGCTTCATAAAGCGGACCGGCAGAGTGGTATGTGTGCTGGTTGAGCACCAGGTTGGCATTTGTCAAAAAGCGATTGCTTAAGGGTCTTTGTTTTTATTGAGACTAAAAATGAGTTCGTTGTCAAATGAAGTCCTAAGAGCCCTGGACTCAATATGCAGCTCGAATGTTGAACAGATGAAACGGGCTGAACGTGAATTAACCGCGTGGGGATCTTCAAAGGACCCGAATTACATCAAGATATTATTTGAAATCGTCAATGGCGAGTCGACATCCCCTGGAAGACTAGTGGCTTGTATTCAGTTGCGAAACATTGTAAAGAGATCCTTAGGTGAGTTGCAGAACCTGGAAACCGGAGCGGCGCAAGACGAGGCGGTGATGAAGGTTGCGATGGATGAGGTGGTGGGGAGTTGCGTGAAGCTGTCTGGCCAGGAGCAGTTGTTGTCGTACATGTTGGAGATAGTTAAATTGGTTGCAGAGGACTACTTTCCGCAGGATTGGCCGGAGCCTCTATCATACTTGATGACGAATTTGGTTGTGCCGTTCTACACTACAGCTAGTGAAGCTATAGGTGACCCGGCCGGAATTTCCAAGATAGATCCAGTCGTAATGGAGAAAACGGTGGCTGCCTTCTTGGTGTTGAAGGCGTGCTTTTCAAAGTACGACTATGTAGGGAGTACCCCGGAACTATTGTCAAATTTGGCGAAGGTGTTGCATTTTTGTCAAACACCAATTCTGAATTGTTTCAAACTAGCGGCAGTGGTTCTGGTGAAATTCCCTATGGTGGATGTTAAGGTGTACCAGTGGTGGATGAGCATTTGCACTTCTGCCCTACAATGTATAGTTTCCTTCCACCACGTGGATTTGCCGGAGTACTTCGAAGACCACTTGCAAGAGCTGATGGAGGTGGTAAGTCACTGCTTCTTGGTCTCGGTGAGCGAGTCGTATATGGATCAGATTCCGCCGGGTAAGAATGCCGACAGCCCGTACGCCTCCGATCTGCTGAAGACTGCCTGTTGCAAATTGCTTTATTGTTATGTGTCTCGGTACACTGATGAATTCTTACCGTACATTGTGAATATGACAGTGGACTTGGTCAATTGTCTGGACAAGCTGCCAGTTGAGCCGCACACTGAAGATGTCTTCACCCACGGGTTGGATGTGTTGAAGAAAGCTGCGTACTACAGATGGCCGGAAGATGTGTACCCTTTTAATCCTAATACGGAAGCGGGGAGCGCTACATTACGGACTGTGTTGAACGGGATTATTCCGAAACTGATGTTGCTCAAAGCCGATGATTTGCAGGACATCGAGGATGATCCGATGCAGTTTATACAGCGGGACATAGAGGGTCAACAGCGTGTTACGCGGCGAGAGAATTTACGAGAGTTAATTACTACCCTCATTACGAGGCAGCCAACCGTCGTGGGTCCCCAGTTGGTGGCATTGTGTGGCCGGTGCATTTCCCAAGGGACCGATCCCCTCTCTCAGGAGTGTGCCTGTTTCCTGCTTTCGGCTATTTGCACGGAGACACAAACGCGTGCTCGAGGAGTCACAAAAATCCGTGGCGAGGAAGATATGATGCGCTTTATAGACTCCAAGGTACTCCCCACCCTATTGTCGCCGGCTGTGGCCTCCGGAGCGGGTAGTCTGATTCACGCCACCTATTTCAAGTTTGCGACTCTGTTCCGAAACTTTATCCCCGTGGAGTACCTGGAAGCGATCGCCGATATTGCTGTTCAAAAGGTGGTAGAAGGCACGTCCATTGTGCCCTCCTACGCGGCCGATTATCTCACGCATGTTATGGCCTTGAAGCAGAAGCCCAATGGCGACGGCTACGCCTCCGAATCATATATTCGAATAAACAGCTACATTCCCAAATTATGTCTTACTCTGCCGGTAGTTGTCGATGTTCTAGCCAACGATCTGGAGAAGATTGAAGACGAATTTTTGGTCAAGTACTTTTGGAGTTTAGCAGCCGTGTGTCCGTTGCCTCCTGCCGACTATATCAGTTTCCTGAAGAAGGTTTTAGACATGGTTAGGTCCTACGTGCTCAAGGGAAGAAATCCGCGAATAAGGCACTTTTTGTTTGAGATTGTCGGCAGCCTTGTGAAGCAAGCGCCGACCATTCAGGGCGCGGTGGGCATGACGGCCAATGCGGCGACCCCGAACACGTCCGCTACATCGTCGCAGCAGTCATCTCCGTCGGCTGGGAAACGTGTGGGTCTTGCGGACTTGGTTCAATTCCACGCGTATGTGGCCACCATACTAGAGGAAATGCTCCAGTCGGAGGAGACAGGTCTGCACCCGTACTGCTACCAAATTCTAGCCGGCTTGATTCAGACTCTACCAAGCATCTATACGATGGACGAGTTCTACGCCTTGGACCCGCCCCAAGCCATGACTTCAACCACCACCAAGCTCACCAACTTGGGTCAGGACCAGACGGCCGCACAGGATGTTGGTTCATCCTTATCTGCCTTAAAGCAATTGTACTTCCCGATGTTACAGGGACTTATGAGCCAGTCCAAGTGGACTTCTGATGTGGCCAGTGCTAACGGTTTGAGCGAATGTGTGTGCGCTTATATTCCGCGCATCTTCCTCTATGACGATGCCCGAGAGCCTATGATGAAATCCTTCCTCGATGGCTTCAATATCGCTTTCCACCAGCGAAGAGTTAGCAAGCAACTGAGCTCTAAGATCCTGCTGCACGTCTTGGCTTCATTTAGCCCAACCGAACTCGGATCCTGGACGCCAAAAATCATCGGCATTTTAATGCCGCAAATGATGGACACAAGCTCAATGGTCGCCGCCTGCATCTGCATCCTGCAATATCCAACCCTTGTCGAAGTCGTCAACCAAAACTGCGGGCTGGATTCGCTCCTACGAAGCATGCTAAAGATTTGCGACCGACCTATCGCGCTGCATGACAAGTTTGCCATCAAACTCGCCTGTGATGTAATTGCAGCCAACCACAAGGAACGAGACCTGCCCCGACAGATTTATGACGCGCTCCAAAAAAACATTACCATTGAAAGGAAACAACGAGAGGAGCAACAACTTACTGACCAAAATTTCGATGATACTTCTTACAATGTGTTGGCCTCCGTTCGCGACATAAGTGGAACAAAAAATGCCATCAGAAGAATCCTAGTCAACAAACAATTGGTAGATCTCGCATCTTTATAAACCTTTTTCCAACCACTTCCACCAACCATTACAAAAACGACAAGCAACACACATCGTCGTTTCTGATTGCGGTATCATTCATTACCAATATTCCTCAGCAATGCTTTCAAGCACACGAGCACCGCGATGCAACTGGAAAAAATATAGATCAACCTCATGCACGGTTTATTACTCTACGCCAAGCAACAGAATTTTGGTGCTTTAGGCGGTAATCGCTCGGATGGAACCACTCATTTCCCAACCTTGGGACATACCCTTCTCTAACAACGACGCAATGGGATGCTAGATAAATAAACTTACATAATTGGATTCATAATCGGTGCGTGGACGTTCGCAACGGGACGGGTGTTGGGTGAGTCACCAAGGGGAGCCAGCGATGACAAATCAAAGGCATATGTCAATGCCATACAGAGAAAATAGCGCATGTGGAACAGCGCGCACACGCGTGTTATACACATACAACTAACACATCTCTTGCCGCCTGATTTATGCTGCATCCCTATTTGGAGTAGGAGTGATTGACATTTGCAGAGACGATGTTCCGGCATCTCTCATCTGACCAATAGCCTCCAGCATGCGATCGTCACTGTATTCTGGCAGATTTCTCAACGTCCTTATGTACTCCTGCACAGTGATCCGTATCATACTATCCAGAGCCGTAAGATCCTAGAAAACAGACTTGCCGATAAGCTATAGCGGTGCTGGCTTACTATTTTGTTTGCGTATTTTTTAACGCAGTTGTTTAAATCCTGTTGTGCAAAGATCTTAAGCGCTCCCTTATCTTCCATATATTTGAAGATCATGTTTTCAGGATCATCGTCGTCATCACCATCTTCATTATTAGGCATTTCCACATCATCGTTCGGATTCTTGTCGTTTCCTGGATTTTGCTTTGCCTTCGATAGTCTGGATAACAGAATCATGTCTTGTGGGTTTGCTAACAGGTCCTGGAAATTTGCTCCAAATCTGCTGGCGCTAAAAGTGTCAGTGTTATAATCAGTAGGAAGTTCGACTCGTAATCTTATCAGCGGCAACGAGTTATCGTTGAGGGACCTAATCTGTTGCTCAAGCTCACTACCTGGATCGCCGTTATCATTGTTGTCACTTGCTACGACCGAAGACGGCTCCAACTCCAATTCAGAGTTCAGTATCGCGATGCTCCTATCCCAGCATATTTTTCTATCACTGTTGAATACATGGGTCTCCTTCAACGCTAACTCCGCCTCCACAGTCAGCCGTTGCCACAAATCATCCCGGGAGGCTATACCCACCTGTCTGAGCACAAATGCGCGAGGCGTCAGTAACGGAAATGAATGAAACCTGAATTTTCTTTCACTGGAATAAATTCAGTTTCGTTTCAGCTCGTTTGCCGTCGCATTTCCCACCTTGTGATCCCACCGTGTGGTCCCGCCTTGTGATCCCACCTCGCGATCCCACCTTGTGATCCCACCTTGTGATCCCACCTTGTGATCCCACCTTGTGATCCCACGTTGTGATCCCACGTTGTGGTTCCGCAAGACAGTAGCCGTCCGTGGTTGACAGACATTATACTGCCCTCAGGGACTCGTATGGCAATCCCGTTGTTTTATCTACCATGTGCATAAAGCTTACAATACTTCGAGGATGCCATTCTTTTTGACAGTAGCCTCTCCTCTCCTCATGCTGGTGTACACAGCACTGCCTGGTTGGCTGATGTAATAGTGTCCCGCTAGGCTTTCTTTGGGCTCGATTTCGCAGTCGTGTTCGTGGCCCCATATAACGATATCAAAGAAGCTCGGTAACATCTCTTCATGCACGCATCTTTTTGCGGGCACGCCACCTCCCTGCGTTTGTCCCTTATATCTATTTTGGTGTATGAGAAGAATGTTGAAACAATTTTCGTCACTCACGGGCTGGAAAGTGATCTTCTTTAAAGTAAACAGTCGATTCATTCTCTCATCCCCTATGTATCCTATTCCGTACAGTGCTATCCTGGTGTCACCCTTTTCTAGAATTACTGGTCTCACAATAACGTTGTCCAAATCATCTATTTTTCCGATGTCATTTACCAAGTTAGCGGCTTCCAATACGTCCACAGCCGCAACAACCTCCGCACCACCTTCCTGACTAAGCGGCGGATCATGGTTACCATGAATCATAAACAAAGGCAGCTTAATTTTGACTTGCGCCGATCGCTCAAAGTTGTAAATTCGTTGAGACCGACTCCCCTGCCGTACATTCGCCGGTGGCTCATCCGCCCCCGGGATGGCCTCAGGAAACAAACGTATAACTCGGAATTCGTGTTCTCTCTCTCCTAAACAGTAATGAGAAAGAATACGTAAGGTACGATGCAACGTATACTGACTCGGCTTCTGAATGTCAAACATATCGCCAGCATGCAATGCGAAATCCACGTGCGCTCTACTGGCATGTATCAATGACTCTTCAAATGCTGCAAACGAATCATTCGACCGTATCTCATCTCTCTCCTTGTACCCCAAATGTGAATCAGTAAATACTAGAATCCTAAAAACCGACATTTTTCTAAGATCTCCCCATAGTAAAAAAACGTCCACTCGACGACCGACCTCGGCAACGCTCGGCGGCCCACGGCTCGGTTCAAAACGTACCTCGTCTCCGACCTTCTTGGGTCAGCCTCGCTCGTAACCAGCCTCGCTCGTAACCAGCCTCGCTCGTAACCAGTCTCGCTCGTAACCAGTCTCGCTGGGAAACATAGACCCTTAACCGTGTTCGAGAATCTCCATCATGATGCGATATCATTTATCGTGTGGCGACATCCCGTTTGTACGGCATCCGACACAAAGCGCATCTTCATTACTGAACGATTATACGCACTTTGAGGGAGCAACTAGGACATTCACACACTCTATAACCTTTCGCGATGTCCTCTTTAGTGATGCTGAATGCGTCTCCGCAAGGGCATTCTAACAGGTAGCATCCAGCCGAGTCATCCCACTCCCACTCTTCCAGGGGCACACTTTTATATATTGAGAACCCAACAGCTTCTTCTTCAGTGTACAGGAGATCAGTCTCGGGCTCCCCCATCCACATAAAAAAAATTCGTAGTGGCGGGGGAAAACATTATTTGTTGGGAACCTGTTTAAGAACTTGCTTGCTTGTATGATTATGGTGTGGATGGCCAGTGTGGTGGCCAGCGCAGAGGTGTCGTCTTGACGATTGCGTTTGATTCAGCTTCTTGCGCTCTTTAGGGTGGGGGCCAAACTCAGAAAGACACTTTCTGGACCTCACTTGGACTTTCCGACAATGGGGTCCGCTCTTTTTGGCGCCATCCGGTCACAACCACACTCTTACGAGATCTGGCATGAAACGGGGGTTGGGATCGAGTCCAAAAGGTGGCCAGAGATCGAGACTGAATGGTCTGACTTAATGGTCTGACTTAAATGGTCTGACTTAAATGGTCTGGCAAACTTCCGTCCGATCTCTTTAGGAAAGATTCCGAGCATCTGGAACCCATTGCTTGCATGGTAGTACGGGCGACGGGTAGTCGAGAGAAGAGCGCCAAAGGCTATCTCCAACAAGGAGAGGCATGGTTGTAATGCCCGCGATTCGGGGAGGAGAGATTTTGCGCTGACTTAAAAAATCTGTATGCCCGAACATATACTGGCAGCTCCTGATCTGAGGGCAGCAAGAACCTTGGACAAGCCTGACTTTCGGAAAGTCTTGCACTCTCCTAATTCTAATTTAAGTAGCGCCACCACTGTGACACGCACTCTGAAAAGCAAACTGAACCCAAGTAAGGAGAATCCAACAGGCGCCGCAATGTGTTCTACGACCAAGCACGTCCCTCGTTTGCAAGAAGGCGTGTGCTTGCCTGCAAACATATACATGTTGGCACACGTACACGGGAAACACACACGTGTGGCGGGCGCTTTCATTAAGTTGGCCACACACTCGACGGACAGCGCGTGTCTGTAATACGTACAAGTGTGTTTATAGGTATTGATGGTAGTCGCACTACTACCACGGACGACGCACCGAAGCCGCAGCTACCGGCTGAGCGTTCTGTGGGGAATCGAACGTCTCCGCCGCCACTCGCGGAACGATGCCCGACCACGGACCGTCCCAGAATGAATAGAGAGCGCACCCCAGAGCGACTTACACCGGGTCGGCCCCCGCCCGCGGAGAGGTCTCGATCGGTGGCTGCGGCCACCCGCAATGCGAGTCCTAGGACGCAGTCTATTTCGAAGGCCGCGTTTTCGAGACCATCGGCGACGCTGCGGAGAGAATTTTCCGCTAGTAACCGAACGCGGGACTTGTCTGGTGGAGCAACCAAAGTCGCATCCACAACTATAATCAGGGAGCAGTTTAGACCTGAGCAGTTCAGACCTGAGCAGTTCAGACCTGAGCAGTTCAGACCTGAGCAGTTCAGACCAGAACAGTTCAGACCAGAACAGTTCAGACCAGAACAGTTCAGACCGCTCGAGTCGTACACGTACGCGACCAGAGACGCGTACGCGAACAGAGGCAGTTACGCGAACAGAGACAGCTATGCGAAAAACTACAACTATGTTAACAGAGACAGCTATGCTACCAAAGGCAGCTACGCGAATGGAGAAAGCTACGCGACCAGAGACAGCTACGTGAACAGTCACGCGAACCACCGCGAGTGTCAGGATAATCCTCCTGGCCGGGAGTTGCCGAGACGGGAGTTACCGAGTCGCGAATTCACGGCGACCCGGGAGTGGTCTATGCGGGACACGCTGAGTCCGCGGCTGCTGAAGAAGAGCTCGGTGCGCGATCTGACGGGTGGTGAGGCGTTGCGGGAGGGTGTGCCCCGTGAAGGCGCTATGGCGCGATTCATGTCGCGCGAGCCATCGCCGTTACGCGATCCTTCGCCGCTACGGGACGGGAGGCGTCTCGTGCGCGAAAGCACACTTGGCGGGGTCCTGCGCGAACGTTCACCTCTGGCTCGTGGTGTGGAACGTGCGAGTGCGCGCGGAGAGACGCTCTCACGCCATCCCGCCTTGGGCGCGCGTCGTCTGGAACTTGCGCACCAGCTCTCCGGCGCCGAGGACATCCTGGCCGCGCCCTTAACGCCCTCCCGCGTTAGTACCACCTACGCCCACGCCTCACCCCACGCCCCACCTCACGGTACGTCAAGTGGAAACGCTTCGCCGAACGTGCGGTCGTTCACGGGGTTCATGCCCTATCCGCACGTGGGGGTGGCCGGGAAGTCGGCGGGGGCCGGAAAGGCGGTCGCCAGTTTGGGGGCGAGCGAGCGCGCGTACGCAGGGTCACCGGTGTTCACCAGCTCGCCCTGTCCCGCACCACACGGCGTCTTGGGCGCGTCCGGCTTGACGTCAGGTGGGGGGCTGGGGTCTGGTGGGGGGA